GAACCCATGGAGTTGGTCATGTGGGCTCCAGTACCTTACCATCATGCCACCTGCTGGCACCTAGGGATGATATTTTTAGATGATTACGTAATCTCTCTTACCATCAATTGCAGGTGATTGGAAGGCTGAGTTGGCAGGTTTTTTGTGCTACTCTTTGGGTCCGCATCTCCTCTAAACACCTGTGGTTAGACGTTATTCAAACATCAGGATTGGGTATGCAGGGTAGTTTTTGAGTTATCATAAAAACCCAGTGCTTCTGGGATTTCTTGGTTATTTAATATTTCATTTGCATCCTCACGAGACTTCTGAAGTGAGTGCCTGGTAAAGATCGTCTCAGAAGATGTTCCAAGATCCTGAACTGAGATGTCTTCTCTCTCTTTAAATCTAAGCTCGCCTTTGGCACCAGGCTACAGGCATTTAGTATGGGAGGAGAGTGGGAATGAATGATTATAGGAAACGAACTCAATTTCAGCCTAGATTTGCTGCTTCTCTTCTATGTGAAACCAGGTGGCTTCACTGAGGTCTTTGTCTGGCCACGCTCTTTTCTTTCCTCCTGCATCGCAGAGTTCGTGCCATCCACACACTCTGAGAAACTGTGTTCCCAGCAAATGACGGATGTGACGTCAACTCCTACCTGAGCACGGGAGCACAGAGCCACTGGAGCAGTTTGGGGACTTGCCTTGCCACTCTTCCTGAAACAATTCCCAGTAGATAGCGAAGAGAATCTAACTGTGACCTGCGCATTCATGGAAAACAAGGTCTTCAGAAAGCCAAACCTCCAAAATAAAGGAAAAAAGGCCATTTCGTGGACGCCAGGGGAGTGAGAGCATCTGTGGGAGCTGGGCAAAGGGAGCGGGCCATCCTGTCGGAGCTTGTGGATTTGGACCTCTGCATTTCAAACTTAGGATTTCAAAATGCATCATGACTCCTGTCCAGTGGCCTGTAAGGTTTATGTGGGTGATCTGGGAAACAACGGCAAGAAGACTGAATTGGAACGGGCTTTTGGCTATTATGGACCGCTCCGAAGTGTGTGGGTTGCTTGAAACCCTCCCGACTTTGCTTTTGTTGAATTGGAAGATCCCCGAAATGCATCTGATGATCTGAGAGTTAGATGGAAGAAGATTGTGTGGCCGCCGTGTGAGAGACAACTGTCGAATGGTGAAAAAAGAAGTCGAAATCGTGGCCCATCTCTCTCTTGGGGTCGTCACCCTTGGGATGATTACCAGAGAAGAAGTCCTCCACCTCGCCACAGATCTCCAAGAAGGAGAAGCTTCTCTTGTAGCCCAAGCAGGTCCCTTTCCAGAGAGAGGAGAAGAGAGAGATCATTGTCTCGGGAAAGAAATCACAAGCTGTCCCGATCTTTCTCTAGATCTCGTAGCCGATCTAGGTCAAACGAAAGGAAATAGAAGACCAGTTTGCCAGAGAAGTGCTGTACAGGAAATCACTTCATTTGACAGGAGTATTTAATTTACAGAAAATTCAAGTTTAGTTTGAGACTTCATGAGCTTGGTGCATTTTTAAGATGTTCAACTGTTCACATTTGTTTGTCTCTTTAAGCAACAACACATAAAGATGTAATTCTCTATGATTTGAAATGGATCATATGAGGCATGTAATACCAAGAATTGTTATTTTACAAGGTTCCCTTCAGCATAATTACATTTGTTTTGAACTTTAGTCTTGTATATAGACTGATAATAAACCTTTAAATCCTGCCCAACTAAAGTGTGGTATTTTAATTCAGAAACAACTGGCAGACAATGAACTGAGATACACATTTTTCCTATAATTGAACTGTAGTTGAGCAGACAGTTGTAAAGCTGCCATGAACACAAGCCAGTTGAAAATACGAGGTGCACCATTAAACAAGAGGTTTTTGAAAAAATCCAACTAGTCTTCACCCTGGCCAGAGGTTACCTAAATGATACAGAATCTATTTCAAGAAAGTTTTATCTTGAGATCTTTAAGTGATAAATATGAACACATAGCTGTAACGTTCTTCATTGGAATTTTCAAGATACTAATGTCCTGCTGGCTTAAGGGTACATTGTAGAGCCGAACTTTGAGTTACTGTGCAAGTTTTGTGTGTGTGTGTGTGTGTGTGTTATTTTTTTTCCCCATGCTGTCATTTGTAATATGTTTTGTGAGAATCCTTGGGATTAAAGTTTTGGTTAAAAGAAAGAAAGAAAGGAAGGAAGGAAGGAAGGAAGGAAGGAAGGAAGGAAGGAAGGGAGGGAGGGAGGGAGGGAGGAGAAAGAAAGAAAGAAAGAAAGAAAGAAAAAGAAAGAAAGAAAGAAAGAAAGAAAGAAAGAAAGAAAGAAAGAAAGAAAGAAAGAAAGGAAGGAAGGAAGAAAGAAAGAGAAAAAAAACTGAGTGGGTCAGCTAGGTGGCATGGTGCTTAAGGGAGCTAGATCTCACATGGCTGATTCTGTGGTTCAAGTCCTGGACCTGACAACTTGAAGTTTATACTAGGCAAGTGTGCTTACACACTCAAAATCCTGAGAAGAGATCGGAGGAGTAGGTATTGTGGCCTGCTATCGCCCCAGGAAGTACTTTCTCACTCTCCCTCTCTTTTCATTTTTCTGTCTCTCGGGTGAGCACACCTGCCATGTAGCAAATTAAAGGGAGAAAGAGAGAAACATTGAGGCTTCCTTGGATTTTGAATGAATTAAAAAAAAAATAGAGAGAAAGGCAAAGGATAGGGTGGACTAAGGAGAGGAATTAACTGTAAATATTCCTAGGAATCCAGTTTTCATTGTGCATTTGGCTAGACTTTGTTGTTACTGTTGCTGATTGGAGAAGGGTTGGAAATTGCTTCCCTCTTGAGTTTCTGTTTTCTTGTAACTTGGCAATATCTTTACATTTTCTTTCATTTAAAATTAGAAATCAGTGCCTAGTATTTCTGATCCTACACCTGGTGTTAAGCTTCTACTTGGAGTATTGCGCTTTCTATTATAAAGACGTTCTCTTCTGCCCAGCCAGATGCTAGGAGGCAGAGGGCATTCCTAGTTGCCCACATGTAGAGAGAGGGCTGGCTGGAGATGGACAGACCTTGGTTTGAAACCTGAAGACAACAGTACCTCTTGGCTTGGGGAAAGTTACAGATTTATTTTATCTTCTGTAAAACAGGGACTGTGGAGGACTAAGTGAAGCTCTTTAGAGAAAGTCCTGACATACAGAGATACACAAAGAACCTTAGTTTTCTTCTCCTGGAGGGTACTGTTGTCTTCTCCTCAGTATCACATCTTTTTAAAATTCTCTCCACAGGGGAAACACTAGCTGATCTTCCCTGGCTCTGTTCATTCTGCCTCCTCTTTCAGACCTCTTCTTTTTTGCTTTTATTAATTTTTTATTTTTTTACATACATTCAATCATATTGTTTACTTACAAAGAGAACATTTCAATATGTGAACATTTCTCCTCAGTCCAGTTGATCAAAATATCTTCAACAGATAACACCACACCTCCCCGTCCTGTCAATGGTCTTCCTCTGTATCCTTCCTCCAAATGACCTTCCCTAGGCCCTACTCCTCCACACACACTACATCTGACATTCACATCCATCTCTTGTGTTTGTATATCTTTTAGTCAATCAGTTTCAGTCATAGAGTGCAGACACTAGGTATATATTAAGTGGGGACATACAATGTCTCTCCTTCATAGCCTGGCTTGCTTCACTCAGCAGTAAATCTTCCATATTCTTCCACTTTCTGTCAAAAGCCAGGGTTTTGTTGGTTTTTATGACTGAACAGTATCCTTTCCCCTCTTTCTCTGTCTCTGTCTGGTCAAATATTTAAAAAATAAATAATAATAGCAAATAAAATTGAATAAATAATTCTTAAAAAAAAAAAAAGTTGAACTCACTGCTCTTTCCTATTACTCATCCTTCCACTCACAGTCTTGCGCCCCTCTATCTGTTGAAATCCTGTTTAGCTCAGGACCAGCAGATGGAGTAATGGTTACAACGCTCAGGTAGCTGACCACGGTTTGAGTACTGGACTGATGTCTTAAGACTCATGCCCAGGCACGTATGCTTGCAATCCCAAAATCCCAAAAGGAGAATGGAAGAGAAGGGATTGCTGTGTGGGGCATGATTTCTCACTTTCTGTCTCTCTCTCTCTCTCTCTCTCTCTCTCTCTCTCTCTCTGGCAAGCTCATGTGTACTGTAGCAAAAATCTCTCCAAAAAAAATGTAATCCTATTTAGCTCTCCAGACACATCTCACATTCTATCTCTTTTAAGAAGTCTTCCTAGAAAAACCCACACACACAAACCATATTTTACTGTGTCATGTAGATTATACCACACTGTTTTAGGTTCCGTGAAGGAATGCACTGTAAGCTATTGGTCTTCCTCTTCCAGCTGGGGAGAATCACTGTATCTTGTACCTAGTAACAGTGGGGCCAGTACAGATTCTGTGAATGAATGAGACGTGAAGGAAAAGGAACTCATGGAACTCATGGAGTGAAAAGCCCTAGCGAAGCAAGTGTCTCTCATGTTGGAAGATGGTGGCTCCAATATTTCTCTTTAGGAAGGATTTAGGATAGCATTCTGATGGGAAGGGGGCTTGGAGGAAAGAGAAAGGTAACAGGGACATGTCATACTAAAGGAGTGGAGATAAGAGTCCACAGAGATCCTGAGAGCTAACCTGTCAGCTCCCTGGTGATTTTTCCAAGTGTCTACTTTACCTTTCATCAAATGTTAATACCTTCTGTTGTTCTGGGGTTGGGGGATGTTTCACATAGGTTAAATTATGTCTCACCAGGACCAGCAGGACGTGTGGTGGTTAAGGCTTTGGACACTCCCACATGGCCAACCACAGTTTGAGTCCTGAGTCTGATGGCTTGATTTCCCACTTTCCTTCTCTCTGTGTCTCTGTCTCCGGTTAAATTAAAATAAAATGGATGAATAAGCAAAATTAAATAATTCTCTAAAAAAATTATATCTCACCATTTCTGAAAGAATAAGTTTTAATGCACATGTCCCTTCTATTTCTTGCAGGCAACTATGGTCCTGAGCTCTGCACACTTCTGGCTGGGATTGTTCCTAGTTCCTACTGCGTGTTTGATAGAAGATGTGGCATGGAGAGCGTAAGTTGAAAGCTGAAATCATAACCCTGGTTTCTCATCTCTCTGTGCAATTGTCTCTCATATGAGCCCTGCCACAGGGTATTAAGTGCTACAGGGATTCTTAAGAAATTCCAGGGAACAGGGCCAGCAGGTGGCGTGGTGGTGAAGGCAGCTGGATCCCACATGGCTGACTGCATTGGTTCCAGTCCTAGACCTGGTGTTCTTTCACTTTCCCTTTATCTCTCTGTCTCTTTCCAGAGAGCACATGTACTCTACAGAAAACCAGACAATAACACCTGAAATTCCACGAAATATACAAGTCTCCTGACACCGGCCATTGAATGATTTATATATATATATATTGTTTGCTATGGTACACATGCATTCACCAGAGAGAGGCAGACAGAGAGAGAATGAGTGAGAAGGCCAGCCACCAGGTTCAGGACTTGAATCATGGTCAGCCATGTGAGAGTCCAGTGCCTCAACCACCATGCCACCTGCTGCCCCCTATGTTTTAAAATTTTAATCTGACTCAGTGGCACAGTGATTACAGTAAGTACTGCTTTAGTGAAGCTGGAACCCTGGAACTGTTTGGAAGATCCCAGATTTGGTTCCCTGGTTGACCTGTACATACCAAGCATGCACCCATGGTTATGACTAGCTGGCTGGGAGGGCTGGAGGGATTGCAGTAAGAGACCTTGGTTGACAGTGCCTTTCTCTCTCATGAAAGAAAGAAAAACATTTTTAATGTAAGTTTTTTTCTTTTTTCTTGGGGCGGGGGGAGAGGTTTTTGCTATAGGGAGCATGTGCTTGCCAAGGAGACAGAAAGCAAGAAATCACCCCCCAGGAGACATGGCCACACCACAATCCCTTCTCCGCCATTCTCCTCTTGGGATCTTGGGCGCACACACACACACACACACACACACACACACACACACGGCGTGAGTTTAAGCCACCGGGTCCAGGACTGGAACCACGGTCGACTACATGGGAGTCCAGCAACATAGCCATTACGCCAATTGCTGGTCCCTTTAATGTAAATTTTTAAATATATATTTTTATTTTAAACTTGATATACAAATATAAACAAAAAAGAATTTTTTTTTTTTGAGAGATTTTCACTGTAGGGCGCATGCGCTCGCCAGAGAGACAGAGAGAGACATAGAGACAGAAAGCGAGAAATCACCCCCCAGGGGGGATGGTCACGCCGCAATCCCTTCTCCTCCATTCTCCTCTCGGGATCTTGGGCACGCACGCACACGCGCCCGGCGTGAGTTTTAAGCCACCGGGTCTGGGACACGAACCGCGGTTGACTACGTGGGAGTCCAGTGACATAGCCATTACGCTAACTGCTGGTTCCCAACAAAAAAGAATCTTGAGAGATCTTTCATGAAGGTCAGTAGGAACGTTGCCTAATAGGTGATTCTAAGGAAGAGTTTCTAATACAGACCCATTCTATCAAGTGTAGGAGAAATTACTGAAAATTTGTTTCTCTTTTTATCTCAAAATCAATGCTAAGTTATCACAAAAATGACCCAGCTTAACTGAAAGGAAAGTTGTATATATGTGAGTTAGTTCAGTACAAGAATGAAGTATTTTTCATTTTTCCAAATAGCTCACAGTAGGAATCCTTCCAATAAAATTCTTCTAGAGAATTAGTTTACAAGTCTATGAGGAAATCTGCCACCAAGATGAAATTATCCTGTAGGTTAAATAGAAAATAATTCATACTAAAATGTTGCTTATGTATGCATTTTAAAATGATCATTTTCAAAAGATCTTGTGTACAATGTGAAAGAAGCAACTAAGTTCCAAGATAATTTAAAATTTGCTTTCATAAGAGAGAGTGTGCAGGAGAGAAGGGGAGTTATTTTTAAGTTATTCATTTATTTATGTATTCCTTGAAAGAAAGAAGAGAAAGACAGACAGTCAGCTGCAACAGGGCCCTCACCCCTGACCCACCCAGCCTCTGCTAGCTTGAATCACAACCACACTAACACACATGTGAACCCAGTGTATGCAGGAAGGCCCTAGGTTACAAAGGCAAGACCTTGCCATGTATGTCCAGATGTGTTACCACTGCATCACATTTGCCATGTGGCCAGTCGCCTGCCCAACCTCCCAGCTAGCCACGACCAGGGGCATGCACCTCGACACCCATCTTGCTCAGGCTGGGCCGAGGACTGAAACCAGGCCTCCCATACAGCCCAGCCATCACACTGCAGTGCTCCGCTGCTTACGCTGTGGTGACCGGGCCGGATGATGGAATCATTTCATGAGCAAAAGGGACTACTCCAAATGAGATAAACTGATTTTTATTTGGGGGTAGCCCAATTCCTTCTACGATTACTTGCCAACTTTCTTAAAAATGGAGACTTCTACCTTGGCTTTACTTTAGGGAAAATATAATTATTTGGGGACCCTGGGTAGAGAATTGAGACTTCAGTCCAAACCTAAGGAAAGACAGCAGATTTCATTTTTCTCTTTCAGTTCTTTCCACACTCAGTGCGAATTATTCTTCCCTGACAATTAAGGATATCTTTTGGAAAAAAAAAATCTTTATTTTAGCATTATCTTGAGAACCAATGATACCTAATACAGAGGAGAGAAAGGATTTTATAGTACTTTTCTTTTTGCATGTTCACTGAGTTTTTCCAACTGTTAGTAAAAATTAAATAATTCTAGTTTCTTAAATGTTTTCAATGATCACTACTTTTTTTTATTTGCTAAGACTACATTCTATAACAGAATTAGAACCCTCCGAAATGAAAAGATTATAGTCAAGAAAGATATTTTCTTAATCTGTAGATTCACTATAATAAAATATTAGTTCTATGATTTGCCCTTTAGTCCAAACCCAGCACAATGAAGTCTCTGACTGAATTTGTTTAGTTTTACAAAGGTAAGTTCATTTTGGCTAAGTCTAGTATGTTTTTTTTAAATTATATATTCAATTTTACTTATTCATTCATTTATTTTTAGTTTGACCAGAGAGACAGAGAGAGAAAGAGCGAAAGTGAGAAAGCAAGCCACCAAGTCTGTGTCTTGAACCATGGTCGACCATGCAGGAGTGTCCAGCACCTTAACCACCATGCCACCTGCTGGTCCCGTCTAATATGGTTTTAGCAATGTCTGATGGCTTTTCAATTTATAAAGATTGAAAAGTGTAACAAGATTATTAAGTAACCTCAGAGAACTTTAACTCAGCTATCTTAATGTTAGGAAAAATTGTTTTATTGTAACTGTGTATTGGCCAAATGAGACTTTAGCAAAAGTATCTTTCTTCCATTTCAAAGAGTTTTTATAGATTACAGCCTCTAGGTACCATAGTGGTTAAGGCACTGAACTCTCACATGGTTGACTGTGGTTTGATTCCTGGGCCCAGTGATTTGAAACTCATACTGGGGCATGTGTGTGAGCAAGCCCAAAATCCCAAGAAGGGAATGGAGGAGAAAGGATTGTGTCATGGCCCTCCCCCTAGGGGATGGTTTCTCACTCTCTCTGTGTGTCTCTAGTGAGCACACGTTCCCTATAGCAAAAATCTCTCTTTAAAAAAAGGGGGGGAGTGGAGAAAAAAATGATTGGTTTCCCTGGGCTTGTAAAATTAGCATCATTCACACTTTAACAGGGATAAATCAAATGACACTATTTGCAGCTCCACCATATGGAAGGAGTAAAAGCTACCTCTGACCCCAAGAACTTGCCAGCTGAGTTAGAGCAGAAACCAGGACTCTGCAGAGGCACAGGTGGAGGCCAGCAGGAGGGGGTGGTCATGTGGGGTGTCCCGCCTGAGGCCTGCTGCCCGGCACCACGGGCCAGGAACACAGCTGTTCTTAGGAGCTGACAGCATTTCAGCTCTGGGCAGAGCCAGAAAGGCCCCTACTGAATTCCAGAGTGTTTTTGGAAATGCATTTTTGTCTCGTTTGATTTGGAGAGCACATGCTCAATTTGTAACATTTTTCCAGTGTCTGAACTACTGTCACTTCTCTCCTTGAACACGAACATTTTGCGAGTTTATTTAGGCACTTCTGCTCGATCATGGAGTCTATATTGTGTCTTATTTCATGTATACTTGCATAATGGGACTTCAAAAAGTTTGTAGAAAAAATGAAATCAGCACCTTAACCACCATGCCACCTGCTGGTCCCGTCTAATATGGTTTTAGCAATGTCTGATGGCTTTTCAATTTATAAAGATTGAAAAGTGTAACAAGATTATTAAGTAACCTCAGAGAACTTTAACTCAGCTATCTTAATGTTAGGAAAAATTGTTTTATTGTAACTGTGTATTGGCCAAATGAGACTTTAGCAAAAGTATCTTTCTTCCATTTCAAAGAGTTTTTATAGATTACAGCCTCTAGGTACCATAGTGGTTAAGGCACTGAACTCTCACATGGTTGACTGTGGTTTGATTCCTGGGCCCAGTGATTTGAAACTCATACTGGGGCATGTGTGTGAGCAAGCCCAAAATCCCAAGAAGGGAATGGAGGAGAAAGGATTGTGTCATGGCCCTCCCCCTAGGGGATGGTTTCTCACTCTCTCTGTGTGTCTCTAGTGAGCACACGTTCCCTATAGCAAAAATCTCTCTTTAAAAAAAGGGGGGGAGTGGAGAAAAAAATGATTGGTTTCCCTGGGCTTGTAAAATTAGCATCATTCACACTTTAACAGGGATAAATCAAATGACACTATTTGCAGCTCCACCATATGGAAGGAGTAAAAGCTACCTCTGACCCCAAGAACTTGCCAGCTGAGTTAGAGCAGAAACCAGGACTCTGCAGAGGCACAGGTGGAGGCCAGCAGGAGGGGGTGGTCATGTGGGGTGTCCCGCCTGAGGCCTGCTGCCCGGCACCACGGGCCAGGAACACAGCTGTTCTTAGGAGCTGACAGCATTTCAGCTCTGGGCAGAGCCAGAAAGGCCCCTACTGAATTCCAGAGTGTTTTTGGAAATGCATTTTTGTCTCGTTTGATTTGGAGAGCACATGCTCAATTTGTAACATTTTTCCAGTGTCTGAACTACTG